TGGCTGAGCGAGGGGCGGGCGCGACACCGAGGGTTGCGATCCGTTGCTGGTCATGAAAAAAGACAAAAAAAAAAAAAAAAAAAAGAGAGACAATGATGGGCCTACCCCAGGGGGTCTCACTGGGGTGAGATTTGACGCTTGGAGTCTTCTCTCAGCTCTAGCATAGTAGGAGGATATGAGAAAGGCCAGCTGGGAGGAGGAAGGAAGCTGATAAAGACATGTTTGCAGCTGTGATGATGGAGGTGGAGGGGGTGGCCCGGCAATCTTGGCAATTATGGAGGTTGGGGAACCCCCGTGGCCTGGGCAGAAGATAGGATCCAGTCTGGGTCTTTGGAGGGGAAATGGGAGAAGTCTTCCAGAACGGGGGTCTGAGTTGGGAGGAGATCGTGCTGAGGGAGTGAAAAACAGGGTAAGACAAGGGTGGGGGGGGGGCAGTCACTGCTGAGGACATCATCAGGCCAGGAAACCGGATACTGGGGGGCTGGGTGGAAGACGTGGGGAAAGAGTTGAATGGCGGGAAGCAGCCCTACTTCAGCCGGACGCAGTCTCACCCATGTCCTTCGCACCTGACCCAGGGAGAGAGGAAGGAGGTACAGCCTGGATTGAGGGGCACCCCATCAACACCATGGGAGAGGGGGAGGGTGGCTTTCTGGTAGGATGGGGGGGCTATTTTTAAACTTGGAAAAACCGTGAGTTCATCTCCACCCTGGAGGCAGCAAAGGCACCATTGTACAGGGGTCCAGAGAAGGAGGAGGGGGGAGCGGGAGGGGGAGTGGCACAATGGCAAGGATTATGTTGGAGCAGGCAGGGGGAGTGGAGCGTGGGGGAGGGGCGTCTCCGTCACAGCTGGCCTACTGAACTCTGGGGTCGAGCTAGGCTGGGGCTGGGAGGGGAGGGGGTTTCCACCCTCACAAAGCCCCCCATTGGGGAGCTGGAGTCTCTGGCATCCGGTGGCCCATCCTGGGGAGGGGGCTGACGGTGGGATTCCCACAGCCTGGTTTTCCCAGGGACGGCAGGGTCTGTTCCCAGGCTCCCAGCATTCCGGCGACTCCCCTGGGAGCTGCTGGCCTCTCCTCTCAGCCCCTTCCCTGCCAGGGAGTGGGGGGGAGAGAAGGAGAAAGAGGATGTGGACGCATCGGGACTCATCCTGGGGACAGGGACCTTAAGCCAGAGGGAGGGGGCGGCAGTGGGTAGGTGAGGTGTGTTGAGAGGGGTCACAGACAGCCCTCTTATTCCAGTCCCGAGCCCTGCTAAGCCCCCAGACCAGGGACTTGTCCCGTCCGACCCTAGGGCCAGCCCACCTGCCCCACCTCAGCCCTCCAGCACCCGGGTCCTCTCCCCGGGGGACCCAGGCGAGGCGGGTAGGCCCTGCTCCCGGAGGTCCTGCCCGGCGGAGGCCCGGGGAGGCGGGGCATCCGGCCGCCCGCACCAACCCAAACATTACCATAAATGCTCAGGCGGCCGCTGCGGGCCGGGGCGGGGACCCTGGGGCTCTCCGGAAGCCCCGAATCCGGTCTCCAGGCTTTTCCCAGCGCGGGCGCGCGGCAGTGATTCAGTCTGTCCTACCGCCGCCTCTGCAAATTGGGGGAGAGGGCAGCGCTGGGGAGGGGGAGTCTCGGGAGCTGCCTCCCGGGTGGGCGGTGAGGCTGTGACCTCTGGTTAAGGAGAGAGTAGGACCCTCTGGGCAGGATTTCAGCATCGGCACAGGCTTGGGGCGGCTCGGTCTCCCTCCAGCTCTGGGGGACCCACTCCTTTCAGCGGTGATATGCCGGGTCTCGGTTCTCTGGCCCCTGAGCGCCTCATCCCTTTCCCACTTCCCCACCCCCAGCCTAAACTTGGAGCAAAAGGAATGATGGCGGGAGGGGGAGCAGGATGCTGGGAATTTACACCTCTCCCCCTCGAGGAAGTTCTCATCCGCTCCCCAGAATACCACCACCCAGGGAGAGGAATGTCCCCAGAGCGCTGTTTCAGTGTGACTTTGAGTTGTTCCTGAGGAAAGGCCAGCTGGTCCACAGGAGCAGAGCCTGCGAGAAACCTGGGGATGCCGTGCTCTGGGTTTCCTGGCCCCTGTCCTCCATGAAGGACACGTCCACTTTCCCTTTTCCCTTCCACACAGAGCTCAGAGGAGCCCTAGAGGAGGGGAGCCTCGTTCCATCCCTTCCAGGCTGGGCCTGGGATCCCCACTGTAGTTGCCACGGCTGATGCTGGGGTAGAGGTGGGAGGAAAGGCAGGACAGGGGCCTGCTGCTGTCTGCCGGGACCCCACACTCCAGCGGCTGGAGCTACAAGGGAACACAAGGTGGAGAGGACACAGGATTTGGAGTCACAGAAAAGTCCTAAACTAGGTCAGAGGGTGGCTGTACTCTCCCCTCTTCCCATCCATGTCCCACTGGAAACTCCTCCTTCCACTTTGGTCTCAAACGCTGTGGCTGTAAGCTCCATGAAGGAATTGGTGGCTTTGAGACAGCCCTGCTACTTAATTAGCTGATCTTGGGCAAGTACCCTGACCAGTGACTGTTCAGCGGGGACATGGCAGTGCTCTGAATAAGGGAAGAAGCTACTCATACCTAATATTTGTACAACATGACCTAAAGTCACGTAGCCCAGGGCCGGCCCGGTGGCGCACTGCAGAGGGCGCTGCTTGAGAGCGCGGGGGCACTCCCGCCGAGGGTTCGGATCCCATGTGGAGACCGGTTCCCGCTCACTGGCTGAGTGCGGTGCGGCCGCGACACCGAGGGTTGCGATCCCGTTACCGGTCAGTAAAAAAGACAAAAAAAAAAAGGAAAAAAAGAAAAATAAAGTCACGTAGCCTGTGAGCAATGGAACTACATTTTAAAAAATTGTGGTAAAGGCACATTTACCATTTTAACCACTTGAAAATGTACAATTCAGTGGTAGTAAGTGCATTCACAATGTTGTGCAACTACTACCACTATCTAGTTCCAGAACTTCTTCATCACACCAAGGAACTAAAATTTGAACCAAAATTTATCTAACTCCAAGACCTGTGCACTCTACCTGTAATAATTATAGCTGAATTAGGAGCTGAATCGTGTGGTGTAAACAGGAAGCACATCAGGGATACAGAAAAGGCAGTGTCAGTGTGGACTTCAGGCCTGCACTAGCCAGGAAAGTATTTCTGGAAATGCAGAGGCTTCAATGAAAGGTCAGGTTTAGAAGGGGGAGGAGTGAGGAACAGTCATTCCTGATAGGGGAAATGGCACAAGCGAATAGAGAGGGATGGGACCACAGAAAGAGGCACGTGCAGTGGTGACAGCAGAATTTCTGTGTAAGAAGAGTTTCAAAGCAGCCATCTGGCTAGAACATGGGGTTGGCGAGGAAGCTAGTTGACTTGTCTGGAAATTATATTTGCATAGCAAACCCACCATTTTTTTTTTTTTTTTTTTTTTGGCTGGCCGGTATGGGGATCTGAACCCTTGACCATGTTGTCACCAGTACCATACTCTCCCAAGTGAGCTAACTGGCCAGAACCAAGCCCACTATTTTCATTTCCATCTTGTGTTTACTTGGAGTGCCTTGAGGAAAACTTTAGTTATACCATCATGCCTTGGCACCACCCTTATGCAAACAACTGGTACTCAATGAAGAGTGTTACATGGTTAACTAGCAATTCAATAGGGTAGAGGGTGCATGCATGTGGGAGCTTGGGAAGATGAGGTGGGGTTAGGTTACGGAGGAAGAGCTTGGATCTTCAGATGGGGAGGCAATGGGGAGCCACTGCAAGTTCCTGAGCAATGGCAAAATGATATGATGAACTTGGAATTTGAGTCTACCATGGTTTCTTCATTTCTTCTTGGCCTCAGAACGCCCCCTGGTGCTCCTAGTTTGAATTGTTCCCTCATCTTGAGTAGGTGGGAGGATGGGGACACTGAAAAGCAGGATGGATGAGGTGCAGAGGCCAGACTCTTGGGTCTCATTTCACTTCATCCTGACTGATGACAGCACTGTAGCAAAACTAGAGGTGACATGTGGATGGAGAGGGTTTGAGGTGAATGTTAGTGGTTTCCTTCTCTTTGTTCCATAACTGTTCATATGTCTATTGTGCCTTGAGATATAGCACTACTGTCAGGTACCACAAAGCTGGGGGCTGGAGATGGGATGATAATTAAGACAAGGTCCATGTGCTTGAGAAATGTGCACCTTTGTGAGGGGTACAGACAAGTTTAACATTTATAATACAATGTGCCAAGTACCAGGGTGCAAATATGCACATAAAACAGTTACTTAACTCAGCCCAGGGTGGTCAAAGAAGGCTTCTTGGGACACCTAGTTTCATTTTAAGGGATGAATGGTAGGGCGGGCAAATGGGGTGTTGGGTGTGGGATGTGCTGTGTAAAGTGTGACATAGCACACTGTATTAGTCTCTTTCTGTTGATCATAACAGAATACCTGAACTGGGTAATTTGTAAAGAAGTGAAATTTCTTTCTTACAGTATGGAGGCTGAGAAGTCCAAGGTCCAGGGAACACATCTGGTGAGGGCCTTCTTCTTGGTAGTGACTCTCCAGAGCAATGCAGGGCATCACATGGCAAGAGAAATGGATTGAGCAAGAGCGAGTTGACCTTCTCACTTGCCCTCCTTAAAAAGACATCAGAACCACGCCCATTACTCCATGAATGGATCAATCCATTCACGAGGGCACAGTCCTCAATCTAATCAGCTCTTAAAGGCCCTTCCAAATACCGTAATTGGACTTCCACCCCTCTTAGCACTGTTAAGCTTCAGTGAGTTTTGGGTCAAGCTTCAATGAGTTTTGGGAGGAAATTCAATCCACAGCACACACTCTGTGCAGGGGACTACTAGCAGTTGGTTAGTATCTTGTAAGAGAAGAATGAGGTTAGTGAGGGATGAGGCCAGATTACTGAGGATTTGTAAACCATGGTAATTTATTAACAGAAACAGGTTGTACATGAATGATTTTAAGTAAGGGAACAAC